GTCAGACCCCTAACCCCACGTTGTTCAAGGGTCAAGTGTATTAAGAAATGAATTTAAGACCTGAATTACTTTCTGTGTATTTGACCACTTCCCATGGATTTTCATATGTAATGATCCCCTTTTTAATAATTTCTTAGTAGCCTTTGACTTTTATTTTTATTTCCTCCTTGGCCTACAAGTTCTTCATTTAGTAAATTGCCCGTAGAAAGTAAAACCTAGGGCAACTTACTATGTGTGTTGCTGGTACAGTTTGTAAAATAATATAATTTTACCCTCACTGACTGCCCCTGAAGCACAACCTTGTTTCAACCTCTACTGCTTTATAATGGAAACTCTTTCAGGTTACAATGAGGAATCATCCACTACTTCTCAAGAGGCTCCAACATACCTGCTCTTCAAGTCTGATTGGGTTTGGCTTCAGTTTGGTCTCCTCTGCTACATACATTCCTGAAGTTCCTCATTTCTCTCTCATATCAATGCTATCTTTCCTTCTTTTCCAGTGGTCATTCAGAAGTTTGCTTGTTCCCCCCCCCGACCTTTTTTTTTTTTTTTTACATTTTTGGTTCTTTCAATGGACTGTGGATAAGCAGGGAAGGTAAGTGCACAGGCTCAAGACATGATGGTAAAAGCAGAAACCTGGGTACCTGGGTGGCTCAGTGGGATAAGTGTCTGCCGTCGGCTCAAGTCATGACCTCAGGGTCCTGGGATCGAGCCCCGCATCAGGTTCCCTGCTCAGTGGTGAGTCTGCTTGTCCCTCTCCCTCTGTGATCTCTTTCTCTCAAATAAATAAAGAAAATCTTTAAAATAATAAATAAATAAAAGCAGAAACCAAGAAATCTTTAAGTGCTTCAAGTGCTACCCACCTGACCATACCCTTAATAAGGCTTTCCTGTTTGTTTTCCTCTTCTTAAACCTGAGGAAATCATCTAAACAGATCATTAATATGTTATATGTTATATATTATAATGTTATAATAATTTTGAACATTATGATCCAAATAATGCAATAGTGCCTATGTGTGAACAGAAATACAGAGCTTAAAAACAATGAAAATATGAAGAAAATTATTTTCTATAATTATGAGATTTAAAACCATTGAGCAATGTTTTGTCCATTTGCCTGACAGAAGCAAAAAGACGCAACCCATTACATAATGGTTCACAATAGAAATTTCTGAAAAGTCTCAGAAATCACCTACTTTTATATTAGATTTTATTTACTATTAAATTGTCTAAAGCAATACAGAGATATACATAAATAATACATATATGGGAGAAGATATTTGCAAATCATATTTCCAAGAAGGGTCAATATCCAAAATATATAAAGAACATCAACAATTCAATAATAAAAATGGTAACTAGACTTATTGCATGATCAGTTCACAATGTATACAAATGTCAAATCACTGTTGTATGTATGAAACTAACAGAATATTGTATGTCAATTATACATCAATAAAATAATGAGATGTAGGTGGCTTCATTCAAACACATATTGCAATAGATAGTAAAATGAGACAAATGATAATATCATGTGTTTTTTTTAAATCCTGTGGGGGCCTTCTTAAATATTTTTATTGGAGGAAATGTGAGTTATCCATATGTTGATAATGTTTTATTTTTTATTTTTTAAATTTTTTATTGTTATGTTAATCACCATACATTACATCATTAGTTTTTGATGTAGTGTTCCATGATTCATTGTGCATAACACCCAGTGCTCCATGCAGAACATGCCCTCTTTAACACCCATCACCAGGCTAACCCATCCTCCCACCACCCTCCCCTCTAGAACCCTCAGTTTGTTTTTCAGAGTCCATCATCTCTCATGGTTCATCTCCCCCTCTTATTCCCCGCCTTCATTCTTCCCCTCCTGCTATCTTCTTTTTTTTTTCTTCTTAACATATATTGCATTCTTTGTTTCAGGGGTACAGATCTGTGATTCAACAGTCTTGCACAATTCACAGTGCTCACCATAGCACATACCCTCCCCAAAGTCTATCTCCCAGCCACCCCATCCCTCCCACCCACCCCCCCACTCCAGCAACCCTCAGTTTGTTTCCTAAGATTAAGAATTCCTCATATAAGTCAGGTCATATGATACATGTCTTTCTCTGATTGACTTATTTCACTCAGCATAACACCCTCCAGTTCCATCCACATCGTTGCAAATGGCAAGATCTCATTCCTTTTGATGGCTGCATAATATTCCATTGTATATATATACCACCTCTTCTTTATCCATTCATCTGTCGATGGACATCTTGGCTCTTTCCACAGTTTGGCTATTGTGGACATTGCTGCTATAAACATCGGGGTGCACGTACCCCTTCGGATCCCTACTTTTGTATCTTTGGGGTAAATACCCAGTAGTGCAATTGCTGGATCATATGGTAGCTCTATTTTCAACTTTCTGAGGAACCTCCATACTGTTTTCCAGAGTGGCTGCACCAGCTTGCATTCCCACCAACAGTGTAGGAGGGTTCCCCTTTTTCCGCATCCCCGCCAACATCTGTCGTTTCCTGACTTGTTGATTTTAGCCATTCTGACTGGTGTGAGGTGGTATCTCATTGAGGTTTTGATTTGGATTTCCCTGATGCCCAGTGATGTGGAGCACTTTTTCATGTGTCTGTTAGCTATTTGGATGTCTTTGGAAAAATGTCTGTTCATGTCTTCTGCCCATTTCTTGATTGGATTCTTTGTTCTTTGGGTGTTGAGTTTGATGAGTTCTTTATAGATTTTGGATACTAGCCCTTTATCTGATGTGTCATTTGCAAATATCTTCTCCCATTCTGTCAGTTGTCTTTTGGTTTTGTTGACTGTTTTCTTTGCTGTGCAAAAGCTTTTTATCTTGATGAAGTCCCAATAGTTCATTTTTGCCCTTGCTTCCCTTGCCTTTGGTGATGTTTCTAGGAAGAAGTTGCTGCGGCTGAGGTCGAAGAGGTTGCTGCCTGTGTTCTCCTTTAGGATTTGGATGGACTCCTGTCTCACATTGAGGTCTTTCAACCATTTGGAGTCTGTTTTTGTGTGTGGTGTAAGGAAATGGTCCAGTTTCATTCTTCTGCATGTGGCTGTCCAATTTTCCAAACACCATTTGTTGAAGAGACTGTCTTTTTTTCCATTGGACATTCTTTCCTGCTTTGTCAAAGATCAGTTGACCATAGAGTTGAGGGTCCATTTCTGGGCTCTCTATTCTGTTCCATTGATCTATGTGTCTGTTTTTGTGCCAGTACCATACTGTCTTGATGATGACAGCTTTGTAATAGAGCTGGAAGTCTGGAATTGTGATGCCGCCAGCTTTCTTTTCTTTTTCAACATTCCTCTGGCTATGCGGGGTCTTTTCTGGTTCCATACAAATTTTAGGATTATTTGTTCCATTTCTTTGAAGAAAGTGGATGGTATTTTGATGGGGATTGCATTGAATGTGTAGATTGCTCTAGGTAGCATTGATGTCTTCACAATATTTGTTCTTCCAATCCATGAGCATGGAACATTTTTCCATTTCTTTGTGTCTTCCTCAATTTCTTTCATGAGTATTTTATAGTTTTCTGAGTATAGATCCTTTGCCTCTTTGGTTAGATTTATTCCTAAGTATCTTATGGTTTTGGGTGCAATTGTAAATGGGATCGACTCCTTAATTTCTCTTTCTTCTGTCTTGTTGTTGGTGTATAGGAATGCCACTAATTTCGGTGCATTGATTTTATATCCTGCCACTTGACTGAATTCCTGTATGAGTTCTAGCAGTTTTGGGGTGGAGTCTTTTGGATTTTCCACATAAAGTATCATATCATCTGCAAAGAGTGAGAATTTGACTTCTTCTTTGCCGATTTGGATGCCTTTGATTTCTTTTTGTTGTCTGATTGCTGTGGCTAGGATTTCTAATACTATGTTGAATAGCAGTGGTGATAGTGGACATCCCTGCCAAGTTCCTGACCTTAGGGGAAAAGCTCTCAGATTTTCCCCATTGAGAATGATATTCGCTGTAGGTTTTTCATAGATGGCTTTTATGATATTGAGGTATGTAACCTCTATGCCTATACTCTGAAGAGTTTTGATCAAGAAAGGATGCTGTACTTAGTCAAATGCTTTTTCTGCATCTATTGAGAGGATCATATGATTCTTGTTCTTTCTTTTGTTAATGTATTGTATCACGTTGATTGATTTGTGGATGTTGAACCAACCTTGCAGCCCAGGGATAAATCCCACTTGGTCGTGGTGGATAATCCTTTTAACGTACTGTTCGATCCTAATGGCTAGTATTTTGGTGAGAATTTTTGCATCCATGTTCATCAAGGATATTGGTCTGTAATTCTCCTTTGGATGGGGTCTTTGTCTGGTTTTGGGATCAAGGTAATGGTAGCCTCATAAAATGAGTTTGGAAGTTTCCCTTCCATTTCTATTTTTTGGAACAGTTTCAGAAGAATAGGTATTAATTCTTCTTGAAATGTTTGGTAGAATTCCCCTGGGAAGCCATCTGGCCCTGGGCTTTTGTTTGTTGGGAGATTTTTGATGACTGCTTCAATTTCCTTAGAGGTTATAGGTCTGTTCAGGTTTTCTATTTCTTCCTGGTTCAGTTTTGGTAGTTGATACATCTCTAGGAATGCCTCCATTTCTTCCAGGTTATCTAATTTGCTGGCATATAGTTGCTCATAATATGTTCTTATAATTGTTTGTATTTCTTTGGTGTTGGTTGTGATCTCTCCTCTTTCATTCATAATTTTGTTGATTTGGGTCATTTCTCTTTTCTTTTTGATAAGTCTGGCCAGGGGTTTATCAATCTTGTTAATTCTTTCAAAGTTCATTCTAGTTTCGTTGATCTGTTCTACTGCTTTTTTGGTTTCTAGTTCATTGATTTCTGCTCTGATCTTTATTATTTCTCTTCTCCTGCTGGGTTTAGGCTTTATTTGCTGTTTTTTCTCTAGCTCCTTTAGGTGTAGGGTTAGGTTGTGTACTTGAGACCTTTCTTGTTTCTTGAGAAAGGCTTGTATTGCTATATACTTTCCTCTTAGGACTGCCTTTGCTGCATCCCAAAGATTTTGAACAGTTGTGTTTTCATTTTCATTGGTTTCCATGAATTTTTTTAATTCTTCTTTAATTTCCTGGTTGACCCATTCTATGTTTATAATGTTTTAAATGAGCATCTTATATATCAGTGCCTTGTCAATTTTCCTCCTAATTTGGGTCTTTGTTGAACAATTTTACAAAATAGGTATTCTACTTATAACAGGTAAAAGGCAGATTTTAAAAAAATACAAACAGATTATCTCATAAAAAGCAAACAGAAGAAATACTAACAGAAAGAATAGAAAATTAACTTATAAATATGGCGAAATTCAATGTTATATGGAAGCTATTTTATAAGTTTACAGTCAGAATTTAATTATAGGTATCAAGAACATATGAATTTCTGACAGAAGTCACACTGATAACAGATGGTAGACTCCCTGGAAAAGTAATCATTCATTCATTTATTCATTCATGCTTCCATCCATCCATTTCCTCAACAAATATTTATTGAGTATCCTCTATGTTCCAAGATACAATAATTTAAAGAAGAAAGAGAAGGACAAGAACAAGAATAGGAACAGGAATCAGAACCAGCATAAGAACAAGAAGAACAAAAACAAGAAGGAGAAGAAGTTGTCTAGTGGGAAATACTGGCAAGAAACCAGATAATTATAATTCACTGGGTTAAGTAATAGGTGTTGTGGGAGCACTTCGGAGGAGCACCTTACCCAGACTTGTTGATGAGGGGAAGGAAAAATGTGTAGGTGATATCTAGGAGAGAAAGTTCGTTTAAGTGATACGTGAAGAAGTATGAATAATATAGAAAATAGTCAAATGAAACCAGATGAAATCTTTTTTGAAAAAAAGATCCAAGTAGAGGGAAGAACAGGAACAAGGGTACAGAGGAAAAAGAAAGCATGGCATGTAGAAGGAACTTAAAAAAAAAAAAATGCAGTAGAATAACAGCATAAAGAACACAGGAATGGTAATAAAAGGCTGGAAAAGGCATTCAGGGGCCAAGAAAAAGGATCTTATAGGTCAATTTAAGGAATCTGGAACTTACCTTAAGGGTAACAGAAAGTCATTAGTGGTTTTAATCAGGAAAGCAATAATGATCAGACAAGTGTTTTAGTAAAATCATGCTGACTGAAAAGCAGATAAGTTATTGAAAAGGATTGATTTACAAGATGAGAAATCAATTAGAAGCCTTGCTTGGATCCATAAGAGAGTTAGAGAAGATAATAAGGAAAGTGAAAGTGGGAGTGAAGAGAAGTTTATAGTTCCAAAAGACATTTAAGTTGTAAAATTCATAGGCAGGATAGATTCAATCCAGGACTGAGAGAAGGTGGAACTCAATGGTAACCACTCCCTCTCTCTATCCCCATGTTCCATCTCAAGCACCTGAGTGGGTGAAGGTGCCATTCCCTGAGATAGAAAGCAAAGGCAAAGAAATAGGCTTAGGTGCAAAGATGGGAAACGCTATTTTTAACAAGTTTGTTTGAGTCATCTAAGTGAATCAAGCTAATGAACAACTAGCTATAAGGCTTTGAAATAAGGAGAGAGAACAGCATTTTATTAAGGATTTTTGCATCTATGTTGCACTCCAGTTTTATTTTCTTATGATGTCCCTCCCCCAACACTTACATACTCACAAACACATTTTCTCCTTTCCTGAAGCTCTTAAGCACTTCTCTGTCAAATCAAAAAGCAATGTGTTAAGGCGGTCTGTTTATATATTATATAACAAAAAGAAACCTTAAATACTTAATATTTAAAGAAAAGGGGGATACTCTACCCTGGTAACAATTTCACAAAACAGAGACGGCTTCCTCCAGTTGCTCCTTAGATTTTATTACAGTCAACCAAAACCCCAATGAATCATGGTGTTCCCCAATAGACAGGATAACCAAGGTCTCCAGGAGGTGGAAAAGAGAAGATAAAAAACAAACTGTCAAGTTGACTGAAATTCTGGAGCTCTTAGTTTCTGCTGGGTATTTCAGGACAAGAATTAAAGGCTTATCACCTTTCGGCAAGGTAATAGGAAGAATGACTCACTGCATCATTCTTGCACCCTGACACTGATGTTGATTTATTCTTTTAAGGATTATGATTGGTTAAAAAAAAAAAAGAGAGAAAAGAAGAAGTTCTCTCATAAAAAAATTATCTCCATCCTGTGAAAGATAAAGTTTTTATACCAGCTTGAGCCCCACCATGTTCAGGATATGAATTGTATTCACATAGTTCCTGCTCTTCAGAGAAGGAAATGAAAGTCTATAAATATGAACAGACTTTCCTGGAATATTGCAGTAACACAGCATTTGGTTCTGCTGAATCAGCATCTTAGACATTCAAGTTGTTATTCCATTGGACAGCAAGTGCTGTGAAGAGTTTCTCCTCCCCTGGTCAGTAGAATGCAGTAAGTTGGGAATACTCTTCTAGCCATCTCTGAGTTGATGTTCATTGTAGTAGGAGTTCATCTCTGTCAACTCACATGTACCAAGTAGACAGTGGCTAGAGAACCAAACCACAGAAACAGCAGAAATGGGTAAACTATATTGATGCCCACTCTACATCCCAATTCTAGAAAATCTACAATCTCCCTCAGGATCATGACTTCAGAAAGAGTAAAGACCACTAAATGAGATGTTGACATTTCATAGTCACAGTGAATTTTTTAAAGGGCAAATTGGATAACTGCATTTTAATGGCTGTCTTGTGCTCTGCCATTACCATGGGGGGGGGAAAGACTGGACTTTATAACAGGTTATAAGATAAGGATGAGCGATATGAAGTGCACAACCAAACATTGAACTCCACCAGCCTGTATCTGCTGACCCCCAGCTGACCTCAGGACACATGAGGGAGCCCGGCCAAGACCTACAGAGCCATGCAGCCTACCCCAGCTCAGATCGGCTAATCTCCAGCCTACTCCAAGATGCATGACTAAGCTTATCCAAGTCAGCGGAGATGTTCAGCCCAGACAAAACCAGTGGACACCCAGCCAATCTTCAGACTTACTGTCAATAAGATTGAGTTATTAATTGAGCCAGACAAGGTCTGGACATCACATGGCCTATGGATGTGTCTCTGTGAGGAGATGCATCCAGTTTCTAATACCTCCAGGGATAATTATCCTGAACAGAAGCACCTTGAAGGGTCTCTGCATCATCAGATGTTTTCCCACATTCAAGAAGGGTTTGAAAAAATCACGTTTTCTTCACTCATAGTTGGACTGTACATTCTTGAGAGGTGAAAACTTAAATTCCGTGTATTTCTTCCTTGTTTTTTAAACATGAAATTGGTGAAGTAAGTTGAAACCTTTGTAGTGGCCCCCATAATCTCTCCCCCACTCCTTCCCCTATACATTCAAGGCCAGCCAGACATGGAGGGGCTTATGAGTAGGAAGTTTTCTGTGGCCTCTATGGGTAGATAAGGCCTCTGGTTGGATTTTTAACAATTAAAAGCCTACCCTATGCAAATAAAGACAGAGAACTAACCACTAAAGTTTCTGCCCTTCTAGAGGAAAGATATCAAAATTTTTACAAGTTTAACCTAATTCAAGAAGAATTTTAAGACCTCGAATCTACTTTAATGGAAGCTGGACTCAAGAACAAACTATCAGAAATAGAAAAACTGGAGGTCATTAATAAAGACCTGGAAATCACCAACCCTTCACTGGGGTTTAAAATACAGACTTTTGGTAAAGGACTTAGCAAAGAAAAATCAAAATGTTTAGAACAAGTTGACATTAGGAGAAATATTCAGTGTTTAGAAGATGCATCAAAATATATCCAATTTCAAGTAACTATACCCATCAAAGTACATCAGAAAAGTGAAGAACAACTTCAGACAGCACCTAAAAACATGCTTTAGATGAAAATCCCCATCTTCATGTTGGAACAAAACTGTTTTCACAAGAAGCTAAAGGATAGATAGAAAGAGTGAGCAAACTTATTGGGGGGGGGGGGAGTCTAAAAACAACATTCTATTACAAACAGGGCAATTTTTAAACGATTAAGAAAGCCAGGTCATTGTTAAATAAGAAAGATCCTGCTGTTCATAAAGAAGACAACATGGAGGGGCACCTGGGTGGCTCAGTCGTTAAGCGTCTGCCTTCAGCTCAGGTCATGATCCCAGGGTCCTGGGATCGAGCCCCACATCAGGCTCCCTACTCTGCAGGAAGCCTACTTCTCACTCTCCCACTCCCCCTGCTTGTGTTCCCTCTCTCGCTGTCTCTCTCTCTGTGTCAAATAAAATCTTTAAAAAAAAAAAAAAAGAAGAAGAAGACAACATGGATGGTGGAACTTTGAAGCTGGGTATAACAAACCCATAAGGAAATGGAAACTTCCATGAAGATGAATCTTGAGTTTTGAAGAAACTGATGATGCTGGGGTAGATACAGCTGATCAAGGCTGGGTCAGACCAGTTGATTTTGCTGGCCTTACCTGGGTTTATTATAAAACTTTATTTAAAAACTCTTAAAGAACATGAAACCAAATGTACACTAAATTAACCAAAGGTGATAAAATAATTGATGCTTGGAAGACTGTAAGTCTCTGAATGAGACAGTTTCACTACAACCAGAGAGGGGAAATGCAGTTAGAAAGGAACAGACAATAGCCTCAGAGGCAACTTTCCTCCCTCCTAAACTGCACTGAGAAAAAGAAATGAATTTTCATCAAATATCCAAGATAGAATTCACCCTGTAAGGATAGTGGAGAATTCTTCCAAAATAGATCAAACAATTAGCCTGTGAAGAGCTGGACATTTCTAAAACATTTTTGAGGAAGAACTTAAAACATTTCAAAAAGTAACCTTACATCCCTGTTGTTCCCAAGGGGACATTTGGAAGAGCCCAAGAGGACCACCAGGTAACCCAATGGATGAATAGACCCCCAAGAAAGCAGGAATATCAGGCAATGATAGTACTGGATCCAGGATGCAATTCTCCCAGGGTGAAGACTACAGAGGCAAGATTCCTCCATTAGGCCACCCCCATCCTTAGCTCAGTGTATCCTCCACAGAAGCAAGATGGAGCTTGTCCTGGTGCTCCTTGAACTGGTAGATACTCAGGGCCTTCTTTTGATTCAACCTTTCTACCTTAATGGGTGACATGCTACCCTAGGAGCAGCACCAAATAGTGGGTGCTAAGAAAGCAGCAACAAGATAGGAAAGAGTCACCTAGGAAAAACTAGTCCTGCTACAAAGTGATGCTGAAGGCCAGCCCTTTGCACTACATCACTCAGGGCATGCCCCACACCATTTGAACTTCCTTGCAAAGGAAGGTTGCTATAATCACTTCTACCCTAAAGATAGGCAGCCTAGGCACAAGCAATTTGCCTGAGATTATAACTAAAATAGTGCCAGGAACTGGCAGCTAAATGCAAATATCCCAGGTATGGACAAACCCTCCAACCATCTGCTCTCCTAAGGGTAATTTATGAAAAGAAAAGCAAATTATTTTGTCTTTTGAAGCTGAGACTGTTATGAAGTCTGGTGCCATGGGCTCAGCATTTAAGACTTCAATATTTATCATATGACGATTGTGTCAAGGGCTACTGGTATCTCTTTGAAAGCATTGTTCTTCCAATTAGTTTTATTAATATTTGAGAATTTTTGTTCCAAAAATGGGTTTGGTAGAGAAAATCCACAAGATTTTAGTTCATTATGAAGTAGTCCATGGATCAAAAACCATTGAAAACCGAAGTCTAAAATGGATTAGTACTTTCTACATAGGGATAGTCCATAAACTGGAAATACCAGTGCAAAGAGATTATTTCTTAGATGAATTAGATTATTTATTAGCCCTTCTCCTCTCTCTCTCTCTCTGACTCTCAGTGACTAGTATCATATATAGACCTTTGAAATCTTGTATATTATGAACCCAATTTCCCAAAATTTCAAAAGGTAGTGAGTAGGACACTCTAATGATTTGACAAAATTCTGTGCACAGAAATTACAATCCCAGGCAGAAGAAACGCCAGGAAATAAATTCTTAGCTCTACCTCTGCACTTTGTAGACAATATGTTACATTTGTAACTTATTTTATTTTATTTTATTTTATTTTTTAAAGATTTTATTTATTTGATAGAGAGAGACACAGAGAGGGAACACAAGCAGGGGGAGTGAGAGAGGGAGAAGCAGGCTTCCCGCCGAGCAGGGAGCCCGATGCGGGGCTCGATGCGGGGCTCGATGCGGGGCTCGATCCCAGGACTCCAGGATCATGACCTGAGCTGAAGGCAGACGCTTAACGACTGAGCCACCCAGCCGCCCCTGTAACTTATTTTATAAGAAGGGATTTATAACCACCACTCTCCCTTGAGATTCTGTGAAGTCCACGGTCACTGAAGACAGCAGTAGCAATGGGTATACACTAGAAATAATCCCCTAATGCAGACTTCATACAATTGTTCCTTTAACCTACAGACCTAATAACTACAGAAATCTATTAGAGGTATTTCAATACATGTTAGAATTTTTTATATGGGGGGAACAATAACATCACGATATTCCTGATGCTGATTTTCAAAGAAAATCTAGTTGCTTTAGTGAGGAAGGGGGTTATCAAATTTATTAGGCCCTGCCTGCATTTCAGGTAGGACATACTCCATACCATGGATTAATTTAAGGCAGAACCATGGAAATGCTCTAACTGGAATTACCAATACAAAGATTGGTAAAATGACTAACATCCTCTATAATACATGTCAAGTATTAGGTTGGAACTCTGATTCATTCCTGACAAAAACACTAACTTTCTCTCTTATCAGCTTCTGGGCATACAAATTACATTCTAAGAAAGACATTAATTATGATTTTTAAAACTCAGATCATATTAGGGGTGAAGAAAAGTACAGAATCTTGTGGGGTCATGTGTTTATTCTGTTAAAAAAATATTTCACCACCTTTTAAAGCTAAATGAGACTTTCTCTCCCCCCCCCCCCAAAAAAAGAAAGAAAAGGAAAAAAGGAAGGAAAGGAGGGAGGGAGGGAAAGAGGGACTGGTGTTATACTTCCTCAAATATTATCAACAATTACAGTATGAAAACTTTTCATCTTTTCCAATTACTTATCACACTCTTTGCCACATAGCATTTAACTTCTTAGGGTTTTTTTCCCCCTTTCATTTAAACTCACCACCAACTTAAGATTTTGTGAGGTAAGCAACAGTTTACAGCTTTTACAAATTTAAGAACTAAGATATCTTATTGACTGAAAAAAACAAAGCATGGAGTAATACACAGAATGATTCTTTTGTGTTTTTTAAGCATTTCTCTAGGCTCTTAAATTGCTAAAGCCTAGGTATGAAAGTTACTCTGTATAAACATGTTTAGCTAATAATAATTCATAATTCTTAGTAATAATAGCATACAGTGGCAAGAGCATACAGCGGGGAGAATTGTGGCAGGGGAGACTTTTGCCTTCCATATTCTACTTTTGGTGTTGCTAGAAACTTGTATTTTTCATTTGCCTTCTTCTGTAATCTAATTTTTTTTTTTTTAATACAAAAA